TATATATATATATATATATGAAAAAACAGCAAATGGAATGAACAATTTCAAGCTACAGAAATTTGATGTCATGTTTAAAATATTAAATGTTTGTACCTTAACCTTGTTCCACTCATATTTTACCAAAGAAACTCCATAGTTGAAATGTTGAACATTGTGTTTAATGTATAGATTAGAAACACGCATACTGAGCCATCACATGGCAGAACAGCAGTATACAAGAATACAAACCCATGAGGTTTGGGCACTTTTTGTGCTGAACATGAAAACAAAATAAGTAAAAAATATATATATATATATTTTATTTAAGTTCCACAAAGTTTCACTGGTGTTATTAGATGGTGAACAACTGATCGGTAAAGTGTGAGTTATATATTAGTTATGTGTTAGTTATTAGCTTATGATTGTTACTGGGACGTTATTCGTAAGTTGCAACTATTCCTCGTTTACTAACAGCTAATAAATAAAGAATAGTTGAAACTTCAGAATGACATCCCAATAACATATAAACTATTAACTGATACTTAACAAGTCTTTAGTAAGTAATTTACTAACAGCTTGTTCATGATCTAATAATTGATTAGGTATAGTTATAAATCATTAGGTGCAGTTATAAATAATTAGCAAACTATTAACTTTTATTTAAGTCATTTATAACTCATTAACTAACAGTTTATTAATGATCTAATAACTAGTTAAAACAGATAGTTATTCTAAAGTGTTACCCAATGCTCTTACACATAGAAATAAGACTTCAATTCAGTCTTGACTTTTCACGTTACTTTACCTTAGTAACAGCGAATAAAATAAAAACTTTTGTTAACGTGTTGAGCATTTGCTAATAAATAATGGTTTGTTTTAATTTTCTTGTCGTTTACACAGAAACATCTGAAAGTACAAAAACCTGTTGTCAATGTGTTCTGCGACTTTATGAATAAATTAGCTTTCCTTCTGAAATGCTGCCTTGAAAAAACAATAAAATTTCAGAACATTTAAATCAGAGATTCCCAAATATTTCAGCCCGAAGCCCCCAAAACAACAATCCCAGTTACTCTCGACCTGGAAACATTTTATGAAGGGGTTATAAACAAAGACCATAGAATACACAAGACATGTCACTCGTATAGTTGTAAGTGGGGAAAAGTGTAATGATCAATGTGGTGAATGAAGGAGTCAATCATCGATCACTATACTTACGGAGAAGCTCATATCAAATGACAGCTTTTACAACAGTTTAGTGTTCAATAAACACACTAGAATCTCTACGAATACCTGCTTCACAGATATACAAAATATATCTACATAAAGCTTGAAATCAGTATTTTTAAATGAACCAGGTGCACTTAAAAACTAAAGTTTTTAGGTTTTGTATTCTGTATGAAATGAACGTGAAGTACAGTCTGTCCTGTCAAATAAACATCACATGACAGCACTTACTCAAACGCCACACATTTGTAAACAAAGAGTCGCTGTATTTTCTGGAGGAGATTCGCCATCAAGACTAAGTCGTTGATTACTTCAGAAAACAACCGCGATTTAAAGATCATTATCCAGAGGATAATAACATGTGTAACGCTTAGGTTCCGTATTGACATCGCATCAGCACAATTAAAGTGTCACGGTCGGGTAAGGGAAAAAGGAGCAAGGACTCAATTGCAACAAATAAGGGTTTTATTAATAATAAAGTACAAATAAAACAAAAAGGCAAAACAAACTACCCCGAGGGGGAAAAAACATAACTATAAGACAAACAGACAAACTTGGCTGGGCTGGCAAGACATGACTGGAACAGGAACAAAGAGGGAGCATCGACGACAAACTGGCACAGAACAGAAGACATGAGGAGATTTTAAGCTGGAGAAAATTAACACACAACAGATGAACATAATTAACTAATAATGGGTTAACAAGTGGGGTGGGACTAGACAATAGACGGGAGAGCACAGGACAGAGACAAGACATGCCATGCGCTCACATTAAACAGGACAAGAACATGCAGCCAATGAGAGAACTCATTAACCGCATGTTCATGACAACACTGAAACACACGACAAAAGCACGTGACCACAATGTAAACACATAGCCACATGCTTTGACAGACGCAAGACACGAGCACACAATGAATGAAAACACTCACCGTGCGCTCACACACGCAGCGTGCATTTTTCATCCCAGCGCCGACCAGAACCAAAACCAACTAGATTGAGACGCTGGAAATGAAACACCACGCTGCAGACAGACGAACACAAACACAAGTACAAGAGCGCGCTCGTCTGAGGCACGCACCCACGAAGGCGCGCGCACACACAGAGACACACACAATGACAGAAACAAGTGCTCGACCCAAGAAAACTTGAGCCGACCACAGCAGGACAGGACTAGACATGACTAGTGTCCGGATTCTGCCACCAAAACGAGAATTTACATGACCAGAGTGGCAGAACCCTGACATAAAGACTCATTTTCAAGACGATTTGTTTTTTAAGTACTATGAGTCGACTTTTTTTTATAGATGATTCAATAGTTTTAAGTTAAAAAATCTAAGTTTTAAAGTTTTAAATCTAGTTTTGAGCCTTATCTGGATATTTCACTTCACTGAGAGCTGTGTTACATACTACATGGAAGGTCATTTTCAAAAACCCATAATAGGAGCTAAAATAAATAATGAAATTAATTAGATTCTTGGAAATCAATAAGCAATCCAACCTCATTGTCCTCCTGGGGCGGTCCCAACCCCCACTTTGGGAATCACTGATTTAAATCTCAGCTTTACAAATACACTGAAAGTTGCACTAGTTGCACTGCATCCACACTATTCAATCAGTATTTTATCTACAGTCTTTACATCCAGACCCAAATCCTCCCCAATACAATGACAGATTGTCATGATAGATCTTATGAAATAATTTTTGCTGCCAGTATAGGTATAGTGCTACTGCATTACCTGGCGTAGTTGACACTGGAGGAACAGTTATAAAACTTGCATCTGCAAAAAACAAATGGAAATTAATAGACAAAGAGATATAGATGTTAAGTAAAATATAAAACATTGATGTACACTATTTACCTCTACACTGTAAAAAATAAATCCATAAAATTTAGGTAAAAAAAACGGCAGCTGTGGTTGCCAGTACTTTACCGTTAAAAACACGGTACAAACCGTAAAAGTAATTTTTCATTTTTACGGTAAATTACCGTATTTTATAAATTTATAGACGTAGTCTGTGTTTTGAATGATCAACATCTACATATCTTTTGTTACACAGTTAGACATGTTAGCACACCCACATGCAGGTGGTGATGAGGAAGTTACATAATGAGCCAATGCACATCACAATCAACTTTTCCCACAAGCAGAAAAGAGTATTGGCATATAGAAGTTGCTCAGTGTCATTCACACAGCTACTAAACACCAGTATGGTAACACGCATAAAATTAAAGTCATGAAATAAACATTGTTTATCAACATTAGATGTAACATAAATCTCTAATGTACATAACTGATGGGGAAACAACTAAAAAGATCCATATTAATGTCAATAAAATGCATAAAAAGTGATGTGCCATGCAGGGAATTCTGGGAAAGTCAATTTATATAAGGAAATATACTGTTAACCAGGTTACGGATTTGTACTGTAGCATTTTTTACAGTTTTTTACCGTTGAAATCACGGCCACTTTTTAGTGTACAGTATTCCCGTAATTGTACTTGATTAACTGCTTATAAACAACTGATTTAAAAGGTCTTCTGCTTCTGCATATTAAATTTAGTGGTAACACATCACAAAAAGGTTTTATTAGCTAATGTTAGTTAATGTGTTTGCTAACATGAACAAACTGCTATGATCATTATTATTCATTCACTCATTTTTCTTTTCGGCTTAGTTCCTTTATTAATATGGGGTCGCCACAGTGGAATGAACCGCCAACTTATCCAGCACATATTTTCCAGCAGCAACCCATCACTGGGAGGCATCCATACACACTCATTCACACACTCATACACTACGGACAATTTTAGCTTACCCAATTTACCAATACCACGTTTTTGGACCCAGCCGGGGCTAAAACCAGCAACCCTCTTGTTGTGATTGTTAATAATAATAATAAATTTTATTTGTGTAGCACTTTTCCAACATACATGCAACTCAAAGCGCCTCACAAACAGCAACAAAAAAACATTAAAATAGACCACATAAACTTGACACATGTACTCGGATAAAAGCATTCATGCAGGCCCGGCCCTAACCAATTTGGCGCCCTAGGTAAGATTTCAGATGGCGCCCCGTCACATCGCAGTAAATTCCACTGCTAGTGTATAGTCATAAGAAACTAAATAGCTTTTTGATCGACTACTACAAGCTGGAAAAACGTCAGATAAAAATGCCAATGCAATTAACATTATTGCTGAATATATCTAATATTTACACACTTGCTTGAGGAAGTAATGATGGAGATAGTTATATTACTATTACTATGTTCCATAACATCTATGCACTTCTATAACATTAGCTGACATTAAAACTAACAGATAGCACTATAGATATTTATTGATTAGCAATGTTATGCCATATCTGTCAACGTTGGGATGTAAAAAATATGGGACAACAAATAGCTTCAAATGATAGAATACATAGAAAACATTTGAAAATATTGACAATAAAATAAAAGGTTTAACCTATTAAAAACAATGGCGTATACAGAAATTGAATAAAGCTATAAAATCTATTTAACTTTTAATTGTATTTGAATATTGATCAAAGTTACTATAGTTATTTAGTGAAGAGCAGCAAATGAATCTCTTTGTGTTTTGTTTGATAACAGTGGTGTTAATGTAAGAATGCACAGATCTATATAAATGAATGAATGAATGAAGCATTCGACTACTTAGCAACGGTTTGTGCTCATTTAAGACAAAATTAGTTGTGTTTAAAATAAAACACGCAGGACAGAGCAAAAAAAAAAAAAAACGAAAAAAATAAGCACTTTTTCGACGGTCCCTTACTGAGAGCTCCACTCTCTCCCGGCTAAACAGAGCAGTGGTCATAATGTCGAGCGGGAAAAAAAAGGAAAAAGACAGCTCTGAAACATAACCAGCTTTGTCTTTTTGTAGGAAACACACTTTAGATCTTTTTAGGGTAAGGGGTTTTTGAGTTATTGCCGTATATCACTGAATGTGTCAGGAATATCAAGAACAAAACCAACTTAACCGCGCTCATTTCTGGCGCCCCCCTGGATGTACAGCGCCCTTGGTATTTGCCTATACTGCCTATGCTACGAGCCGGCCCTGCATTCATGTACACAAAATATAAGCATATATCCACATGATCACGCACACAATAGTCCTTACGCAAGCACACACCATATATGCATACATACATAAACCTACAACAAAATATATAAAATGCGTACACCTTACAAACTTGTGTATTCATACGCAATTTTTCAAAAGATGTGTCTGAACACGCTTTTTAAAAACATGAATACTAGGGGATTCTTTCACTTCAAGAGGGAGACAGTTCCAAATTTTAGGAGCATAATGGCTAAAAGAAGTGCCGCCAGATCGCATCTGCCAGATTGCAATATCGAGTAATATTCTATAAATCAAGCGCTAGAAGAGAGTAGCAAACGGTTTGGATTATATTTTGATAAACAGGCAGAAATGTAGGAAGGTGTCATGTTGTGTAGTGCTTTATGAACTACTGTAATAAAAGCATCTTAAAATCTATCCTTTGGTGCACAATAATAATGTTGATTATTATTATCATTAATAATTTAATTTCAGATAAGTGTATAAGGTTAATTGCAAACAAGTGTGTATCATTTTTTTATTGCAGAGGAAACATCTCTCTAATTAACAATTAAAAGTTTATTGATCAATACAGTCGGGGGGATCTTTCACAGCAAATACACTTGTGTTGCATGCAGAGATGGATTTTTCGATGGAAATTTTCTTTGCTTTCACAGATAAGGCATAAAGAGGCAGCTCACCGACCTTATTTATGAATTAATTTATGAAAATTTGCCCAGCATACATTCAACATTCTTCAAAATATCTTCATTTATTAATTTTCCTTTAGCTTAGTCCTTTATTTATCAGGGGTCACCACAGCGGAATGAACCACCAACTATTCCACCATATGTTTTACGCAGTGCATGCCCTTCCAGCTGCAACCCATAACTGGGAAACATTCATCCACACTCATTCACACATACACTATATGGCCAATTTAGTTTATTCCCTTATAGCGCAAGTCTTTGGACTGTGGTACCCGGAGTAAACCCACGCCAACACGGGGAGAACATGCAAACTCCACACAGAAATGCCAGCTGGTCCAGCTGGGACTCGAACAAGCCTTCTTACCCTGAGGTGACAGTCCTAACCGCCCAAAATATCTTTAAATAGATGAAACTCAAATAGGGTGAACTATCCCTTTAAGTCTAGTCCAAGATTAAAATGTGTATATAATAATATACTCAAACACAAAGAGGAGCTCAACATAAGCTTACCTGCACAGTATGCCTCAATGCAGCCAACAGGCCGGACAAATGCATAGACATAATAACCTCCTGAACAGGCTTTGACTGTGATGGAATTAGACACGAAAGCGCAGCCGTTACCCGAAGAACCGCAGACAGTTCGAGAGACCACTCCATCCTGAACTGTTGGATGTCCTCCCACCAGCACCAGTGCATAATAAGAGCCACAACTATACAAAGGAGCCGATGAGACTGCCATTTGAGTACTCTGACCATTAATGAAGAGACGATACCAGCCATTCCATGGGATATGATAGTCACAAAATGTCTTAGAGGGAAGTCGATTGGGATCGACATTGCTTGTAGATCTCCTTGATTCATCCAGTACAGTGTAGTTAAAGCAGGGGTCAAAAGAGAGGACTGTGAAAACATAAAACATCAATTATGAAAGTATTATTAATTTAGACTTGTGCAAAGATTGATCAGTGCTGATTGTTTACATTATTTTGGGGCAGGACTGCCATATAACTACAGAGTATATGCAGGAATCAGAGGGTGCAACTCAGTACCTTTTAAGACCTTTTTTTAAGACTCTTTCCATACATTTTAAGACTATAACATCTTTAGGTTTCAACCGAAAAACACAGGCAAGATTTTAATAATTATAACAATAATAATAACTGCTTACATTTATGTAGTGCTTTTCTGGGCACTCAAAGCACTTAACACAATGGGGGGGGGGGGGGGGGGGGGGGGGGGGGGGGGGGGGGGGGGGGGGGGGGGGGGGATATGGGGAGAGTTAGGGAGGGTTAGGAGGCCATGATGGACAGAGGTCGTTGGGCAAACTTGGGCAGGATGCCTGGGTTAAACCCCCTACTCTTATTCGAAGAACACTTATTTTTAACAACCACAAAGAGTCAGGATGTCGGTTTAACGTTTCATCCAAAAGATGGCGCTCACTGATCAGTACAGAGTCCCCGTCCTTATACTGGGGCATTAGGACCCACAAAGACCGCAGCTTGGGCGCCCCTCTGGCCTCAACTAACACCACTAGCAACCTAGCTCCCATGTGGTCTCTCATCCAGACCGGGCGCAGCCTTGCTTAGCTTCAGTGGGTGACCATGTGAGGGTTGCAATTTTAACTTACATATTTACTGAATATTAATGTAAGAAACTAATCCAAAACTAAGTACAGAAATAACAGTGATGCTTTAGTTAATGTAATAAACAAAGCAGCATGATGTGAAATCTAACAAGATTTTATTGATTTCATAAACTACACAGCATCCTGATATTCACAAATTTAATTCAGGAAAACTTTAGCATATAACCATACACTGCATAGTCAAAAATGATTTAAAGTTGAATACCTTGTAAAATAGCATTTAAAACTTTTTAATGACCTTAAATTTCTCTACATTGATTTATTAACATTTAATATTTTTTAAGACCCAGCGGATACCCTCAACTAAGGTACTAAGCATTGGTTTACCAATCACTACTCAAAGTTTGCTTGAACTGAAGTTGCTGCAGAGTTGTGTTTCAGAATAATTATGTACCGTGTGTGTCTCACTGTCCCCTCTGCCCGTCTCAGCACAATGGGAAGCAGAGCTTTCAGTCGCTCTGCTCCCAAACTCTGGAATTTTCTTCCTCCTAACATCTGCAGTATTGACTCTCTGCCCAGTGTTCAAACCAAGACTTAAAACCCTACTACTTTACATTTTGTATGTTGTCTTTGTATTTTATCCTCTTCTCTATTTTTATACTCTCAGTTTATCAATTAAATTATTCAATTGTGTATATGTACGCTACCGGTCAAAAGCTTGGGGTCAATTTTTTTTTATTAAGTTAATTCATTTAATTTTTTAAAAACTGTCTTTAATTAAGAAAATTATTATGTTCATTAAGGTGGCATTTATTACATTTTAAAAATTGTCAAATATTTATTACAATTTAAATAAAAAATATAATTTTATTCTTATTGAATGTAGTCATTATAGCTTTTATTACTATAATAATAATAATAATAATAATAATAATAATTATTATTATTATTATTATTATTATTTTTATTTTTATTATTATTATTATTATTAGTTTTATTATTATTAGAGTGATTTCAGAATGATCATGTGACTGAAGACGAGCAATAAAGCGTCATCATTAAAATCATTGGAATAAATAAAATTAAATGATAAACTACTTTTGAACAGTTATTTTATAGAGCAATAACATTTCACTATTTTACAATTTGTACTGTATTTTTTATTAAATAAACACAGCCTTGGTGAGCAGAAGTCATACTCAATATCATGCTGACCCCAAATTTTTGTTCACGTGTGTGTGTGTGTGTGTGTGTGTGTTGTACAGTGACCTTGGGTTTCCTGAAAGGTGCTTTAAATAAAATGTATTATTATTATTATTATTATTATTATTTATTTTTATTTTTTTTTATTATTATTATTATTATATTTACAGCTGAATCTGAATATTAAGTAAGTTTTATGCTTCTTTCATCTTTCACTCACAGTAAAATAACAATAGGAGAAGCTTGGCTATGCAAATGTTGCTGACATCACACTCCACGTTTTAAAACAGAAGCATACAATCATATTTTGATTAAAGTTTACCAAGACAATTTTTTCTCACTGTGTTTACTTTCACCAATTTCTTTTCACCTTATAACTAACAATGTGCACCAGCAAAAAAAAACTGACTTTTATTTTATATGCACATTAAACAATTCTGTAAACAATCATTGGTTCAGATGAGCCTAAAATTGCTCTTTTTGAACATGCAATGCTAGAAATGTACATAATCTTTATTTACCCTAATTCTGATTAAGAAGTAGATGTTTTTTATTACAAGTCACAATCTTACAATTTAAGAAGTCTTTTAGTAATTCGTTGATTTTTGCATAATGCTTCAGTTTTCAGAGGTAGGTGCTATTGGCGAGAGGGACATTCTCATTTGTGAAAGCATTTTATTAACAACTACACTACCTGACAAAAGTCTTGTCACCTATCCAAGTTTTAGGAACAACAAATAATAATTTGACTTCTGGTTGATCATTTAAGTGGCTTACATGAAAGGCAAAAGCCTCTAGATTACGCTTATTTGACCAAAACAAAATATGATCATGCCATGACTTCTAATGATTTGATTAAACTCAGGCAAAAGTCCTGTCACTTAACAGAAATAATGTCCAGTATAGAATATAAAGTCCTGCTGCAGTGGAAACAGAATGAATATTGTGTCTGACTCCATCATGAGCTTGGAGGACTGCATCCACACATCTCTGCAATGACTCAAATCACTGATTAATAAAGTCATCTGGAATGGCAAAGAAAGCGTTCCTGCAGGACTCCCAGAGTTCATTAAGACTCTTTACCTTCATCTCCAATACCTCCTCCATCATCTTACCCCTGACATGCTCAATAATGTTCATATCTGGTGACAGGGCTGGTCATCCTGGATCCCCTTGACCTTCTTTACTTTGATGTGAAGGCTGAAGTATGAGAAGGAGTGCTATCCTGCTGGAGAATTGTCCCTCTCCTGTGGTTTGTAATGTAATGGGCAGCACAAATGTCTTGATAGGCTGATGATGTTGTCATCCATTTTGCAGATCTCTCGCATGCCCCCATACTGAATGTAACCCCAAACCATGATTTTTAGACTGATTTCTTAAGTCCATGCTGGTTCCAGTAGGTCTTCTGCAGTATTTGTGGTGATTGGAGTGCAGTTCAACAGATGATTCATCACAAGAATTCTGCTGTTTTTCTAGAAGTCAAGTTTCTAGAAGCTTTCTTGACGCTCATAAAACTGGGATCGTCGACAAGACTTTTGTCATGTAGTGTACTATAACAATAATTCCAGCATGTTGGGCTCGTTCAGTTCAAAATATTAATCTGGTTTTAATTTGAAGAACTACAATTTCCTGTCAGTAATGTTGATGGTTGTTGTGGGTGAGGATAGTGATGACGGTAAGTTTCACATGTGTATTTTTTCTCTCTTTATATCAACACTTTGAAAAATTCTGAAACAACAGGAACAAAACCTTACCAAGTGGCAAGACTGATATGAACACCAGCAGGTGTTGTGAAACTGAAGACAATCTCATGGTGATCAAGTAAATGATGGCAAAATCTTCTGTAACCAGAAAGAATCATGTACAGTATTATTAAGCAGATTCAGTCTATTAGAACTTCATGTTAAACTGCTTTGAAACAATCTACATTGTAAAAGCGCTACAGATATAAAGATGAATATCATAAACACATTTATTACACTGTTCTCTGGAATACTTAATTCTGATTGGTCAGTTACAACATTACAATGTTTCATAGATATTGCCAAATAACAACAGCTGAGACTAATAACCCAAGGTCTCCCGGGTACTACAAACTATCTTGTGCATTTGTAAATACAGTTAAAGTCAAAATTATTGGCCCCCCCTTTTTATTATTTTTTAAAAATATTTCTCAAATGATGTTGAACAGAGCAAGGAAATTTTCACATTATATCTGATAATATTATTTCTTCTGGAGAAAGTTTTATTTGTTTTATTTCAACAAGAATAAAAGCAGCTTTTAATTTTTTAAAAGCCATTTTAAGGTCAAAATTAATAATCCCTTTAAGCTATTTTTTTGATAGTCTTCAGAAAAAAGCATCATCCAATAACTTAACTAATTACTCTAACCTGCCTAGTTAACCTTTAACCTAACTAAGCCTTTAAATATCACTTTAAGCTGTATAAAGTGTCTTGAAAAATATCTAGTCAAATATTATTTACCATCATCATGGCAAAGATAAAATAAATCAGTTATTAGATATTAGTTATTAAAACTATTGTTTAGAAATGTGTTGAAAAAATCTCTCTGTTAAACAGGCATTGTAGAAAAGCATAAACAGGGGGGCTAATAATTCAGAGGGGGTAATAATTCTGACTCCAACTGTATAATAAGTACCCCTGTATATTAACAAAATTAAAGACAGAAGAGATTTACTGACCTCAGACTGTGTCTTCTGCTCTTCTTCCTAATGCGGGTTTGCAGATTTTCACTGGTCTTAAATGTGTGCCAGACCTGCGCTGAAGACGAAACTCTTCTGGAATGAGGAAAAATAAATACAATGAAGAACTGTTGCTATCACGTAACACTTAAGATATTAGATTTACACATCAGATACTGAATGAAAGTTCATGAAAGTTTGTTGACAGGTAACTTACCCTGCAATTAGTGAAGGTAAAATTTAAAGGTCACCCATTTTACTCCTTTTTCAAGATTTATGATAAGTCTTTTGTGAATGTGTTTGTAAAGTTTCAGCTTAAAAATACCCATCAGATTATTCATTAGACCTTTTTAAGTCTAAATTTGAGCTGCTATGACATTCAGCTTTTCACTGTTTTTGCATGGCAAATGAGAGGATATATTTTAATATCCACTGCTGTATGGATATCCATTATGTTAATGTACAAAATAAATCTGAATTAACATCCACAAATTGAGGTCTTCTTTTATAATTGTACTAGGATGTGGCTGTGATGTTGAATTACATAGCAATTTTACTGTCTTATTACCAACATCCACTGTTTTAGGAACTTGTAAAACTCAATCTTGATCACATTTGATGATCACAGAGAGCTGAACAGATCTTTCAATCCCGGTTACTCTGTGCACGTCCTGTCTTGTTGATTTGTTTGTTTGTTTGTTTGTTTGTTTGTTTGCTTGCTTTATTTATAGAGCACATTTAAAAACAACAGATGTTGACCAAAGTGCTTTACAAAAAGACCAGCATACAAATTCTATACCTATATATAAAAATTAAGCTAAATAAAACAGATTAAAATTAATTAATTACAATCAAAGGCAAGAGACAGAAGGTAATTTTTTAGATGAGACTTAAAAGCACCAAGTGAAGAACATGACCGGATATGTAAAGGCAGAACATTCCACAGTCGGTGGGCTGCAACAGAAAAAGCCCTGTCACCTCTTGATTTCAACCGTGTTTTGGGGACAACTAGCTGAAACGTGTTTTCGGACCTGATTGGCCTCAATGAAGTGTGCCAGTGAAGAAGCTCAGAGATGTAAATAGGTGCCAGAACATTTAAACTTTTAAAAACAAGTAGCAATAGCTTATATTGAATTCTAAATTGGACTGGGAGCCAGTGAAGGAGTGATAAAACTGGTGAGATACTATAATTTTTTTTTGTCCCAGTTAAAAGCCTAGCAGCTGCATTTTGAACCAGCTGCAGGCGTGCAATTGATGCCTGTTAAACTCCTGAATACAAAGAGTTACAGAAGTCCAGTCTGGACATAAAAACATTAATTATGGTTTCCATATATTGTTGATATGATTATACGCTTTACTTGAGACATGTTATCGCGCAGCTGTCAATTCAATTACAGTACGTCATGTTGCAGTGGGCCACAAAATGGGAGGGATCCTAGGATTTGGATCATATTTTAACATCAGGAAATAAAAAAGAGACCTATTGTCTTTATATCACAAAGCAAAAACAAAAAAAAACAAAAAAAAAATACTTACATTACTAACGCTTTCCTTCTTAGACTTTACACACCAGAAACTTGTCTACCGCACTGATTCATTGTTGCTCTTATAGTTGTGTAAATTGCTTGCTTGTCCTCATTTGTAAGTCGCTTCGGATAAAAGCGTCTGCTAAATGACTAAATGTAAATGTAAATATCACTCCAATATGTCAGTGGACGCAATATACTTACACACTGTTCTTGTCCAAACAGCTAACAAAATATGATTTTCATCATAGGTGCCCTTTAAAGTCAGTTGTTGCTTTTTGTATTTAAATTATGTCATATGAAATTGATACATCTTTGTGTGCTTTCACCCACTGGAGGGGGTAGGTGGGTCTGTGACCAGCGCTCTTTAGCTGCAGGTCCAGATGGCTGCCCGATCTCATCAAACTATATCTATATCCTCTGTTCCCATCCCCTGTTGCAATGTTATGTCTATGTGTTTATGTGCTTGCCTGCTGGGGCTTTTTTTTCCTCCCTGATCTCACACTGGCCAAATTCAAGAGCTAGGTGAGAGGGAGCTTTTTTATTTATTTACTTTTTTATTCACCTTCCTCTCCTCTTCCTTTTTCTAAATGCTACCTCCTGTTGACCTGTCCTTCCCCTGAAATGTGATGTTTGTGTATGGTCGGGGGGGGGGGGTCCAATTTCACTATACGGAAGTGTATGTGACAAATGTAATGTGTATTTATATAGCGCATTTATTATGTATGGCCATACACCCAAAGCGCTTCACAATCATGAGGGGGGGTCTCACCACACCACCACCAGTGTGCAGCATCCACTTGGATGATGCGACGGCTGCCACAGGACAACGGCGCCAGTGCGGTCACCACACATTAGCTATTGGTGGAGTGGAGAGACAGTGATAGAGCCAATTCGGTGGAAAGGGATGATTGGGAGGCCATGATCGTAAAGGGCCGATAAAGGGACTTTGGCCAGGACACCGGGGTTACACCCCTGGTCTTTCACGACAAGTGCCTTGGGATTTTTAATGACCACAGAGAGTCAGGACCTTGGTTTAACGTCTCATCCGAAAGACGGCGCCCACTGACAGTGTAGTTTCCCCTTCAATTTTACTGGGGCATAAGCACTCACACAGACCACAGGTTGAGCACCCCCTGCTGGCCTCACTAACACCACTTCCAACAGCAACCTAGTGTTCCCTAGTGGCCTCCCATCCAGGTACTGACCAGGCTCAGCCCTGCTTAGCTTCAGTGAGTAACCGGTCTTGGGCTGCAGGGTGATATGGCTGTGGCTTGACATCTAATAAAGGGCTTGATTGATTGACATCTTTGGTCAGTTTTTAACTATTATACTTAAAGATGCTCAGATCAGGATTATTGCAGCTGATACTGAGTGCCGATTCCTTGTCATGGTAATCGGCCGATACAGAGTACAGATTCTCATGCTTCAAGCGTTATATAACTATATACTGTACCATTATGGCTAGTTTCCACTGACTGGTACAGTACGGTACGGTTCGGGTCGGGATGGGTCACCTTTATCAGGCTTATGTTTCCGCTACCAAGGGTACCCTTTTGTACGAGTCGCTCACATATAATATGAGAAGCACTTCACACAAAACAGATGGATTATAATGCATATATACTTCTGTATAAATGTTCATTACTAACTTTTCCCTGAACAAGATTTGATTATAACTGCAGATCAATGGCTCGAGGATCTCATAAGCTCAGGGCTCTCTCCTGGGACAGCATGCCAAACAAGCTTTATAATCAATCATTAGCTAAGTGTGAACTCTTGAAACACAAATATGTGTTGTAACCTATATTCATTATTTGACCCATATTTTATTTTAAACTTTAAACTAGACACTTCACTTTGATTTGATATGATAAAATCACTTTGGTAGTTTGAAGCAGGTATGAACACGAGACAAAAAAAAAGCTAAATAAATAATAATAAACACATATCAGACGGTGGCACGGTGGCTCAGTGGTTAGCACTGTTGCCTCACAGCAAGCCTTACAGCTAAATTTAAAGGCGTGTATGAGCGGTGAAACAATATCATAGCAAATGACAGACATAAACTCTAATGAACTCTCATGAATGTGCAAGGAAATCACATGCAGATAAACAGACTAATAGTGTGGGGGATGTAGTAACCTTTCAAGCATCATTCTGTACATCTTCACCAAACCAGTTTTTTTGCATAACTCAGCAGAGTAAATCAAACCTAAATAAAAAAAGATATATAAAATTATTAAATAAAAGGTTAAATGTTCCAATTTAGGGCTGCACTGTGGTGCATGATCGCCTTACAGCAAGATGGTAACTGGTTTGAGCCTTAGCTGGGTCAGTTGGCATTTCTGTGTGGAGTTAACATGTTCTCTCCGTGTTTGTGTGGGTTTCCTCCAGGTGCTCTGGTTTCCCCCATAGTCCATAGACATGTGGCATGGGTGAATTGGGTAAGCAAAATTGTGGTGTATAAGTGTGAATGAGTCTGTGTAAATGTTTCCCAGTAATGGGTTGCAGCTAGAAGGGCATTCGCTGCATAAAATATTCATTCATTCATTTTCTTGTCGGCTTAGTCCCTTTATTAATCCAGGGTCACCACAGCGGAATGAACCGCCAACTTATCCAGCAAGTTTTTACGCAGCGGATGCCCTTTCAGCCGCAACCCATTTCTGGGAAACATCCACACACAAATTTACACACACACTCATACACTACGGACAATTTAGCCAACCCAATTCACCTGTACCGCATGTCTTTGGACTGTGGGGGAAACCGGAGCACCTGGAGGAAACCCAAGCGAACGCAGGGAGAACATGCAAACTCCACACAGAAACGCTAACTGAGCCGAGGTGCGAACCAGCGACCTTCTTCTTGCTGTGAGGCAACAGCACTACCTACTGCGTCACTGCCTAGCTTGCATAAAACATATTCTGGATAAGTTGGTGGTTCATTCCACTGTAGCGACCCCAGATTAATAAAGGGATTAAGCCTAAAAGAAAATAAATGAAGGAATGTTCCATTGTAATGTAAATTTGATTGTATTTCTTATATTGCAATTGATATTAGCTTGTAAAAGTTAACGATTTCTTAAAACATTGTCACACATACTGTAGGCTGTGTCCAAAATGGCATTCTTCCATATTATAAAGTACACCAAAATCAGTATGCGAGCTGATTAGTATGTCCAAACTTATAGAATTCAAAAACAGTATGCGAGAAGTATCCAGATAACCTAATACATCCGGCGAGATTCTGGAGTGCACATCTGATGCATGCTGCGAGAGAGTTCATGAATGGGACTGAAACAACCCAACTCATGTGGGTAGGTCAAGTGATCATGACAAAATGGCAGATGTAGTGCATCCGAGTTCCATTCATACTACTGACATTCATACTGTATAGAACGTACTTTGCTAAAGTCCGAGTAGTACAGATGAATTCAACTGCAGTACCTATTGACTAGTAGGTGGTTTCGGATGCAGCCATACACTCAGGCTGTTTCTCAATATGATTTCTTCGGCGATCTTGCATCCTCGTGTTCTCATGTAGCGAGACATCATCAACTGCCTCAGAACTCAACCTACAATTAGAGGGATGCAAAGTTAGCATTATCTCGACTATAAAAGATCTGGG